GCCCTCCGCCGCCCCCCCCCCCGCTTTTTCGAATTCGGCGACTCCTGCTCTCCAAACCTAAGTATCAGGAGCGTCTCGTCCGCCGACCAGGTTGCATATGCTGATTCCATCGCAAAATGAATAGAAACCATGGAAAAACAGTGGAAACGAACTCAAGTTGGTCAAAACAACGCAATCAAAAAAGCTTGGAGGTCGCACACGGTCAGGATGCTGACCCCGTGACCCCGGAATTATGACGCAAAAACCGGTTCAATAAACCCTTAGCGTTCAGACCAGGTTTTTCGGTGGAAAAACCCCTCAAAAACCACCTCCCGAGGTGGTTTTTCAAAATCGGATTTAAACCCCTAAAAAACCGGTTAATTTGCGTTCACATCAGGTTAAATAAAAACCGGTTTTTGAAAAACCGGTTGAAACCGCTAAGTATAAGTCTGGTATGAACAGGGTCTTAGATTGAAGGAACATTGTGGTTCTATAACAATGCGCAAAGCTGACAAACCTTCTGCAACCCATTGCCTGCTGACTTATGCTGTAACCTTTGCCCAGTGTTGTGTCATGGATGATACTAACAGAAGTGGTAGGCTAACTGTTTGGTCTGTCTACAGGAGGTGCAAAGCCCCATCCAGCTCAGGTCCTTCCCCCTGGTACAGCTCAACGCCATCCCTGGGGACGCCTCCCCCGCCCTGGGGGTACAGCCAGCACACAAAACAGGTACGTCCCAGGAAAGGTGCAACATGTAAGATTTTAGAAGATAATCAGCACATCATTGCATATCTTATTTGAAATGCAGCTTAAAGTCAAAACATAGTGACATTAATTTTTTTTAACATCGTTGAAGTTTAGTGTGAAAAATATGTGTAACTGTTGTTGGTTTATGTTTTATTAGTGCTTCAAGCGGACATATCCTTTGTATCTTTGTTTGTACATTAAAACCACCAAATGTAGTTTTGTATCTGTAGATGGAAAAAGGGATGAACTGTTCAAATTCTGTTATTTCTGTGTTTCAGATGGAGAACCTCAGAAGGTAGGGAAGCCCAGCCCTCCGCAGCAGGATGCCACAAAGGTGAGGCTGTAGCGCCAGAGTCTGTGATCTATGTGATCTCGGCACTAGTTAGTGATAAAGTCAATAAAGTGAAAACATATTATTAATTCTTTGTTTATGCAATTAACAGGTGGATGGAAACTCCTCATCAGAGTCATCGTCTTCATCTGATGATGATGATGATGAAGAGTCGACAGAGTCGGCTGAGTCGGAGTCTCTGTCCAGTAGTGTGGACTCCTCCCGGGGACCACGGATCAAACACGTGTGCAGGCGAGCAGCCGTGGCACTGGGCAAGCCCCTCGCAGTGTTCCCTACTGATGACCAGATCCGCCTGAGTGCTTTGCCTCCTAAGGAGAAGCGAAGGCTGCTGCACAAGCAGAAAGCTGGTTTGTTTACAGATTATTCTCATGAGATCTTGTAAAACTAAAACATTGCCAGAAAGCTGAAAAATCTTGTAAAACTATAACATTTGTAATAGTTTAGCAATCTGTTCTTGAGACACAAATTTAAGATATTGTATGTGCTTGATTTCTTCCATTGTCCTGCCTTGTTCCTTTGTAGAAAAATTAAAGCAATTTACCTTGCAGTTCTCTGTCTCAATCAGTGATGTTAAAGTGATTATAGCTGTTGTGAAAACTTGTGTATTTCTCCTTCAAACTTCTGTGTAGTTTTAAGCCTGACAAAGGTCCCTCCTGCCTGTACAGAGCGCTCAGGAACCCCCGACTCTGATGAGGTTCCAAACCGAGTCAGGACAGAGGAGAAGCCCAAGCGTCCCTTGGGCCTCGGCTCTCCCCAAAAGAGTCGCCGCAGACGTCGATGTGGCACGTGTGTGGGCTGTCAGCGGACTGAAGACTGTGGCAAATGTCCCAACTGCAAGTAAGTAGTGTTGGCGACTTTGGGAGGATAGAAGAACTTTATTGACACAACAAAAAGTACAGTGACTTTTGTAAGGTCAAAGACATGTTGATATACAGACAATTATACATGGGTACAACGAAAATATCCTACGTACAGAACAATAGGTGGGTCAACTAATACTACTTGTTCTAAGGTCTAAACGTTCTTTGATATATTTACCTATTTGTACACAGTAAGGGTTATTGCCTTCTAGGATGAACTTAAATTTATCTATAGCATGAAATGTAACAAATTCTGTTGAGCAGGCGGAGAGAAGGTTGAACAGCTTTGTGCGTTTATTGTTATATAGTGTACAATTCAAAATAAAATGTTGTTCGTCTTCAATATCATTGGGACAGAATGGACAAAACCTCTGGTCGCGAGGGATTTTTTTATATCTTCCTATTTCTATATTCAAATTATGGCTAGAAATTCTCATCTTTGTAATCGATCTACGAACTTCAAAATTGTGTATTTCAGAAAGGTAATTTTCTTGTCCGTACCTTGTCTTTAACATCGAATAGACAGTAAGTTTTGAATTGTTTTGATATATTTTGAGTCCTTAAAATGGAGTTTATGTATTGTATTTATGTCCAGTCAATATTAGCTATAATGTGCCACTGAGCTCTGACATAAGGTTGTCCTGTACCACAAGAGAAATAACAGTTTATTCCTTTTTCCATCTGCAGAGACAAGACCAAATTTGGTGGTTTCAACGTCAAGAAGCAGTGCTGCATGTAAGTCGACTCAACAATTCTACCTTATCTCGAAAAACTTTTCCTGCACCATTAACACAAAAAGAAATTACACAGATCTGTGAAAACCATTTTTCTCCCACTCTGTCCATTTTTAGCCACAAGAAGTGCCGTAACCCCCAGCCAGCTGGTGATGAGATGGTACGGCCCAGAAGCATGGGTAAGATTTCAATCTATCTTACCAGGCTTTGAAGAAGTTGTACATTGCAACTGTATTCTGTAACATTCTATATGTTTGCTGAATGAAAATAGTTGTGTTAATTTATTTCTTTTACAAATGCAGAAGTTGTCTTGTTATTTTAATTTGTTAGTATGTGAGAATCAACAGGTTTAGGAAAACTGTTCACCTGTCTTGCAGTAGCTGTTAGGAGAGTCAAGGTGCCATCTAGGAATTCAACGCCCCCTGTTGATGGGGCCACAAACAACAGGACTAAAGGGCTATCAGTCAAAAGAGGTAATGGCAAGGACAACGGCAACTCTAAAGACAAGCAAGCTGGCCCCAGCTCCTCAGGAGTACAGAGACCCAGGCCCATCAGAGCTGGAGATGGAAAACAGTTGTTAAAAGTGGACTTTAAGGAAGAGTATTATGTGGAGAATGCCTGGGAAGGTGGCATGGTCATCCTGGCATCCACCCCTCTTATCACTCGAATTGTCTGCTATCTTTGTGCCAGTGCTGGGCAGCACGAGGTAAGAAACTGGACATCTTTTCTTTCGTCGTTAACTCCATCTGTTATAGTCTTGTTGTGATTGTTGAAGTATCATTGTGGGACTATGTGTCCTTGAGGTAACGTTATATGTTATAATTTTGTTTATAGGTTGTGGCTGACTGTATGCCTCCAACTCTGTATGTGTTACAATGTACAGTTTGAGCACCTGGGTATGACCTATGTCCCTTGTTTGTCTTCCCAGTTCCTATACTGCGCGGTGTGTTGCGAGGCGTTCCACCAGTTCTGTCTGGAGGAGGAGGAGCGCCCCCTGGACGGGCGGGAGCAGGACTGGTGCTGCAGGAGGTGCAGGTTCTGCACGGTCTGCGGCAGGCAGAACGGGGTAAACACAACATGGCGTACCGTGGGGTCATGTAGGGTTTTGGTATCATTGCTTCAGATGTAATAGATGCATGTAAATGAAGCAATACAAATAGGAATTGGGTCCTGGTGTTGTCCAAGGACAAGATGAAATAAACATTGTCGGAAATGAAATCATTCAGTGTCTTGAATGCAGTCATTCCATTGCAGGTGATCGCTGAGGGAAGGAGAGCATTGACTGGTGCCTTGTCTCTGTCCCTGCCACAGCTTTTACAGTGCCACAAGTGCCATGATATGTACCACGGAGAGTGCCTCAGCCCAAACTACCCCACCAGACCAACAAAGAAGAAGAAAATTTGGGTGAGAAATAAAGAAGACTCGTATTTCATGCCCCATTTTTTGGCAATGTAACCTGTAATAACAGTGATAGGTTCAGTATATCCATGTAAAATGCTTTGATTTGCCTCTAAAGGTCTTTTGTTGCAACATGTAGGAAACATTTCTTAAAAGCACTCGTATACTTAAATAAGATTGTCCACATACTATTTCTGTGACATGACAACTTCAGCTGTATTCCTCTGTGTCTCTGCTTATGTTGTCTGTTAAAATAGTTTAAGTGTAAATGTATTTACTTTTCCTGTTTCAATGCACTGTCTCACACTACTGAAATGTTGTATACCTTGTTCCCAACAGATCTGTCCGAAGTGTGTGCGATGTAAAAGCTGTGGCCGGACCACCCCAGGCCAGGCGTACAATGCTCAGTGGACCCACGAGTTCTCCCTGTGTCAGGACTGTGGCAAACTGTTTGATATGGGTAACGGAAGATTTCTTTTTGTTCATTTTGTAGTTTTCTGAATATTTTTCATCTACTTTGCAAATGTTCTGAATGAGTTGTCACAGTAGAAACATTTTCAATACTATCTTGTGATAAGCTTTGGTAATATCATCTTTAATTGTGTGCTTAAAACAGATCCCCTCCCAATGTTTGATATCTTTTTATATTATATTACAGGCAACTACTGTCCCATTTGCAAGAAGTGTTACTCTGATGATGACTATGAATCAAAGGTAAACTGATCTTCTGCTGTCAGAACTATACTTTGTTGGTAATTAAGTAACTTACCTTGATCTCTTATTATTAATGTTTTATTATTATCGTCAGTTAGATGATAGAAGTAGTACAAAAATGTCGAAACTGAGCCATCCCCTTTCCTTTTTTCAGATGATGCAGTGTGGAAAGTGCGAGAGCTGGGTCCATGCCAAGTGTGAAATGCTAACAGGTACATTGTATTTTCAGCTGTCATGTTTTCACTCACAGTTATGGTTTTCTTATGTACAATATTCAGTTTGCCATTTTATTTTTGTAGTGGATGGGAATCCAAATCTTGTTTTTTTTCCCAATCTCCATTAAACCATGACTGGTGTGCTAACTATTGAACATTCTCTTCCCTAGATGAGCTGTACGAGGTGCTATCGTGTGTCCCAGACACGGTGCACTACACATGTCCTACCTGCACACAGACTGAACCCCCTGAGTGGAGGCAGGCTGTGCAGAAGGAACTGTACACAGGCTTCCAGCAGGTCCTAGGGACACTGCTCAGCCACAAGAGTGGGGAACACCTTTTATATACTGCACAAGAAGAGGTAGGGACAAATTGACATTAAACAATGTTGTTCCTCATAGTAATGTATGCTTTGTACACTTGATTATGCTTACAAGTATGTGATGCAACTTATACATAGAACTGGTTACAGGTTTTGAAGGCCTTTCCTTAAATTTGATTTTGAATTCTGAGGTAACATCTTTGACTATTGCAGTAACATCTCAAACTTCTGAAAACTAATCATTGGAGTCATGTTTTAACTCCTCTAGACTGCAGAGGCTGAAGTGACACCTGCAGTGACACAAGAAGTACAGACAGCCTCTCAGCCAGCTATGGAGGTTGTCACAGCTGAGCCTCGGGATGAAGACATGAAGACAGAGGAGCTGTCTGCAGAAGGGGAGGAGAAGAAGGTGGAAACACCTGAGAAAACAGCAGACAACCCAAAAGACTTAACAGCTGTCAGGAAGCAGGTTGAGGCAATGGAGTACACATCTGTGGTTAGTAAAATGTCCTCACCACTGTTATTAACTCTGAATAGTACGGATGAAATGTGTGGTTGAGAGCATGTAGGGTCAGGGAATTGTTGGCTGACCACTGAAAAGTTTTGACTGTGTTGGTAAGTTATTGGCATAAGGCGTATCAGGGAATAGTGGTTTGAGGGAGATGGTTTGAGATGTAGAATACTCCTTGACTGAGGCAGTTTTTACTGTGTTTTGTTCCAGTCTGTGTTCTGTACCAACCTGGTGAGGATCATACAGGGGGCACTGTCTGCTGCACCTGACAACTCCATCCTGAAGACCAACACCAATATGATCAGGGTGCTCTTCATTAAGGTACTATAAAATACTACCACTGATTCATGTCTTTCTCTTTCTTTAAGTGTTTTCTGCCACTTAATCTGTTGTGGGACTCAGTGATCTTTGGAAAGATGCTGTAATTATAGACTTTTCAGCTTCATTTAGTAAACATTCACTAATTTATGCTGAATATGTCAAGGTGTAGAGTTTTAAAAAACTAAGAATATACTTCCATGGAGTAAGTTGTTTTTCTTTGACAGCAAATGGAGCGGCACTTTCCATGGTTTGATGTGCAAGGCTGCCAACTCTGGGAACACAACAAGAATCTGCCAAAGTAAGTGTTGTGCTCTTTTTTCTGGAACAGATTGATATAGGTCAGATAACATACAACACGACATAACAGGCTAGAATAGTGGGTTAGAGCTGTCCTTACACAAAACACAAATTCAGGCTGACAAACTTCTGGCAGATGTGTTTTTGAGGAAGGAATTTCACTGACTTCATGTTTCCTGAACTTCTTCACATATTACATATTCTTTTTGTCTTGTGGCATTACCAGTAATCTATGTGAACACATTGTTGTTGACCCAGGGGCATGCTGCCCAATGCTGTACTTCCCCATCACTGGAGCATGACTATGCTCAGTGGAGGGTGAGATCTGTAGGACTGGACCCCACCCTCAACCTTCCCACTCAAGATAATGACTCCCAGGAAACACACCTCCAGACAGGAAGGTGAGAAAGAACACTGTCTCTTTGTTATTGACATCTGCCTTCGTCTTTACCACACAGTGTCTTTTTTTATTCTTTACCTCACATATTCTGTTCATTGGTTTGACTGAACATTTTCTCTTAATATTGCTACCAAACATTTCTTAGTATGTCGTTAGTCATGACTGTTGACCTCATTGTAGGGACATGTGATTCAAGTGGAAGCACCAGTGTGATACCCATGGAGGTGGGAGATCCTGATGATACCAGGCAATGCTGTTTATGTGCCAGGCAGGGAGAGTGCAAACCCAACGTGAGTTGTGTTCCAAAGAGGACCATATATATGCAACAGAGTATTTGGGAGAAAGATTTCTCTCTTGAGCATGTAACTCTTTTGTTGTGTGAATATTTACAAACATTGTGTACACTTAGACTGGACCAACTAAAATGTCTTTGTTCTTCAGGATGCTGGACGCATGCTGTATGCAGGACAGGATGACTGGGTCCATGCAAACTGTGCCCTGTGGTCAGCTGAGGTGTATGAAGAGGCGGACGGCTCTCTGCAGAATGTCCACACTGCCATCTCCAGAGGCAGGCAAATGGTAAACTTACTTGTATCATATGTTAAAAAACTTTTTTTATGTCTTCCAACATCTTTACGTGAAATTCTTAGCTCTGCATTTATCTCCTGAAGGATCTAGGAACCCATCAAATAATCCCGACTTTGTAGACGATAGAGCTTTGTTGTTATCAAGTGTTATATCTAGTCTGCGTGTGTCCACAGCGATGTGAGCGGTGTAATAAGTTGGGGGCCACAGTAGGCTGCTGCACCCGTGGCTGTCCTGCCAACTTCCACTTCATGTGCGCTCGTCTGGAGGAGTGTCTCTTCCAGGAGGACAAGAAGGTCTTCTGTAAAGAACACAAGGACAAGGTGGACGGAGAGGTATGGAGTAGCTTCATTTTCTTTGAGGACTGTTCCTGAGTTTCATAATTTTTGTCTTCATGTCAATGAACCTCTAGCATCCATCAAATGAAATGGTGTTGCAAGCCTAGCTCACACTGTTTCCTGCTAAAATTTGTGTCTGTGGTTTGACCCCAGCTTGTGAAGGAGGATAATTTTGAGGTGCACCGGCGGGTCTGTGTGAACATGGATAACATCAAACTCAATAGGAAGTGGATGCGAGGACTGGAGCCAACCATCATCCAGGTCCTGGCAGGTGAGTATTTTATGGTGTTTTCTTTAAGGTACGGTGCAACATTAAATGGTGTCCATCCTCTTTAAACTAGCAACTGTTTACTTTTGTGTTTTGGAGCTGTTCAAAGACACTCTGGATTGTACATCAGTTTTGGGGTTAAATAATGGAAGATAGTATGGAAATACAATTTAATAGATTTATTGAAGAGTAAACCACCTGTGAACTTTCTAACATACATTTTGCTTTGCAGGGTCTATGACAGTGGAGAGCCTTGGAGAGCTGAATGACCTGTCTGACACCAAAGATGCCCTGCTTCCTGTTGGCTTTGTGTAAGTTATGTTCCTATTTGATTATTATTATTTTTTAAATTAAGTAAGTTCCTTCTACTTCAAATTGGTGGTCATCAAATATATGTATAGCAAAATACAGTTGTTGGTAAGAGATCAGAAGTTTTTCCAATCTACTTCTTCTAGTAGGGGACACTAGGTGATGGAGTAATGTATCTCCAGCTCTTTTACTCATAACTGCCTGTTTCTTATCTGTACAGGTGCACAAGAGTCTACTGGAGTACGTACGATGCCCGCCGTCGATGCATCTACACATGCCGCATCACAGAATTCCGACCTGAGAAACCCAAGCCTGCTGTAGAACTGAACCGCACAACAGCACACGAAGAACCTGCATCCAGGGACTGTTCTTCAAAGCCTCTGTCACCAAGAAAGGCACACATTATATCCCCGTCAAAACTTGGGAAAGCTCACAGAAACCTGAGCACAGAGATTGAGGCTGCCAGTCCAAGCACAACAGGAGATAAAACATTCCATAGCCCCAAATCAAAAGTAAGGAGGACTTCTGATGGAACCTATGTACTGTCAGTTCAAGATATAGAGCACGGGCAAGCCAAGCTCAGCAGTGCTCGTACACACAAGTCACAAGTGGATACATCAGGAAGTGCCATTTCCAAGAAACTTGCCAGCAGGAGTGTTGAGAGGAAAACAGAACGCACAAGGCAGAAGTCGGGACAACATGTGTTAGCTGAGCCCATCCACTCTGAGGTGTCAGAAGACAGGAGTGTGCAGTCAGTTAGTTCCAGTAAGGCAACATTACCAGTGCATTCCACACCAAATGCAAATACCACAATGAGTGTGGTCAGAACTGCCCAGACCACAGTCGTAACTACAGCACAAAATGTGGTTGTGACCACACAGAGCAGAGTGATTACCACTCAGTCAGTCAAGTCCTATGAGACAGTTTCTCAGGAGGGAATTCTGGGTGTGAGTCTTCCGAACATTGGCGTGTTCTCTCCACCACCTACTAATGTGCTGCAACCCCACGGAGGCGGTCACCTACAGAGAACTTTACAGTCTCAAGTAACCACCCCACCACCTCAACCACCTTTGTTGCCTCCTCTTGGTTGTGTAAGACAGCAACTTTTGCCTTCTGTAACCCTTGCACACAGGCCATCTGTGAGAGATACTACAGCATTGTTGCCATGCAGTCAAACATCTGAAATATTTCAGACACACATTCCACAACAAAGCAAGGCCATTATTAGTTCCCCGATTCCTGATGGACATATCTCTACCTCTGGAAATGCAGATCATGCAGCTGAGGCACCTATCATCTCAAGTCTCTTGGCAAAAGATGAAAGAACATTTCTGTCTGTTTTGCCAGGTGCAGGTTCAGAGGCCTCGAGATCTACCACAAATACAGCACAAGAAATAGCAAGGTCTACCATCTCCATTGACAGTGTGAGGCCAACAGTAACGTTGAGCAGTAGTACTCCTTCAAGAAGCTCAGCATGTGCAGGGGTAAGCCAGAGATCCTCTGGAAGCTCCTCTCAGCAAGGTAGTAGTGAAGGAAATGACGGAAGCTTAAGCAGGCCACAAGCAGAGAGTCAGGACAATGAGAATGTTCCATGCTCAAGCAGCCAACAGGACACAACAGTCACAAACAGTGGGGGTGTTCAGAAGGAGTCCTGCTCCAAAGAACAAGATGAAACATCCAGTGCAGAAAAGCTACCTACTGCTTCCACATCTGTAGGGATTGTGCCAACTTCCGTTCACAAGCAGGTTGGACAGACATCAACGTCCAGTTCTGGCTCCAGCCACATGACCGTCACAGTGACCCTACCCACTGGCATTCTCCCCAGTCTGTCTCAGTCTTTAAGTCTCAACAAGATGACTACAACAACAAACAACACACCTGTTTCCAACACAACACCTGCAGCTGTTTCATCCTCTCCAAGCAGCAGCACACCTTCCCCCTCCACAACCCCTACCGTGGCAGATGCTAACCATTCTGGTACCCCAGATGCCATGCTGACTCGTGGCAACCCTGTGTTCTATGGAAGTGGTCTAGTCAAGTCAGCCAAGCTCCTGCGTAAGCTGCATAACAGCCCAGGAAGAAAGGCGGCTACAGCCAGTCCTCCTCTCTCTGTCAGTCCAAAGTTGAGTCAGTCCTCTGTGGTGACCAAAACTGGTGACAGTGGTGTCAGTGCCATGAGTGAAGTCAATGACAAGTCAGCTGTTTCTTCAAATCCTTCCTCTGGCCCTTCAGATGCCATTTCAGATGTTTCCACCAGCAACAGCAGATCTTGCACCACACCCATGCAAAATGTCAAGGCATTGCCACCCAAATCACAGAATGCAGCAGCTAGTAGTGAGCCAACCTTCCTGCAAGCATTCATAGATTTTTCCTCAAAGGACCAACGACGTACACCTAACCACGTGAAGCCCTGTGTGGTGCAGATAGCTGATATAAGAAAGCAGGGGTCACAGAAGGACACAGCTCACTATACGGGAAGCCAGCAGCAATCTGGCAACAAGAAGGTCCCAAATGGGGACATAGGACCCCAGCATGGACTGATTAAGGGGAACCGTGGAGACCAAATTATTGATAAGTCGAAGCCCTGTTGCCCTAAGTGCAAGAAGCAGTTTGTGAAGGAGAATCAGCTTCAGAAGCACTGCAGAAGATGTGTGGATGAAATGGCAGAATCTGATGATGAGTACGTTCCAGAAAAGGAGGCAGGGGCTTTGTCAGATGGACCAAGTGACACCGATGGTGATGGGAAGGCACGGGGGAGGCAGAGGTACCCCAGACGGAGCTCTCGCAACAAACCTGTCCAGTACTACGACCTGGAGACGTATGGGACAAGTGAGGATGAAAGGTCTGAAGGCAAGCTGTCAGGAAATGAGTCGCATTCTCCAAGATACAGAACAAGAATGTCCTCCGGGAGTGGCAGTGACAGTGTCACCAGTCCCACCAGATCTGATCCCAACAGACGGGGACCAGGAAGGCCCAAGAAGAGACATCCCAGACCTCCCTCTCCCTCATCTTGGCAGGCAGCAGAAGAGGGAACTCCTGCAGTCACATCTCCATCACGTCCCAGGTTCAAGGAAGAAACACTTCCCCCAAAGAGATATTCGCTCAGGCATCCTAAGGCTTACTCGGAGTCCGAGAGAAATGACACTGGTAAGAAGGAAAAGTCCTCACCTAAAGGGACCAATGATGATGTTGAGAGGGAGAAAAAGGAAAGTGTAAGTGCATCTAGCAAGGCTTCTCCAAACAATGCCTCTGAAGAAATTAGCTCAGCCAAGCTGAAAGATGATCAGGATAAAACTAGTGAAGATGTAGCAAATCTTGGCAACAGCACTGAAGGGAAAGGAAAATCAGAAGAGAGAAAAGAGTCTAAGGTGGCAGGAGAGTGTAAAAAAGGTCTGGTTGAACAAAAAACAACTCAAGGTAAACCTGAGCTTGATGATGTCCTGCCGACAGACATTGTGGATTTTGTGCTGCAGAATTCTTCACCTCACCCAGGGGAACATGGGAATGGACTCCCAGCCTTCCCTGCTTCAGATTCAGGGACCATGTTAGATGCAGGGAAGAAGAAGGAGCTTGAATCAGATATAACTGATAGCAAGGGACCTGATGGTGATGCAACAGCTGCAGGTAGTCACAAAGGGAACTCTATTGTTGGAAACACGGATTGCTTAAAACCACTAAGTACAGAGAAAGAAAAATCTCCCAGTCCTTCTACACTTGCATCAGGGGAGTTAACAGTTAACAAGACATTAACAACTGTGGACTCTTTGAAATCTCCCAATGTTAATACAAGAGGTGGGCAACAAAATATAGTTGGCACCCACGTTGCATCAAGTGGGAACAGCAAGGTGGTTGTACAGCTACCACAACCCTCCAGCTCAGGTCCAACTGTTGTCAGTACTCCTCCACTCCAGCCTGTGACAACAAGCCAATTCTCCCTTCATGAGCTGTTGAAGAAGCCAGCAAGGTACTCTGTTGCTATTTTGGGATCTAGGAGACAGCCCCCTTCACAAAGAGAGAAGAGCCCATCCAAGTCGCCTCGTCTGCTGCCTAAACCTGCAACAACAACAACAGCATCAGTATCAGCAGCACCAACACCAGTACCAACACCAGCACCGGCAGTTCCAGCACCACCATTACCAGCACCACCTCAGGTACCAGCACCACCACCACCACAGGTGCCAGTGTCACCACAGGTACAACCACAGCCACCACTGTCGGCCAATATTCAGACAGTCTTTGTCACAGCTCCCAATCCCCCTGCTGCACTGCAGGTGCCGACAGTAGCAAACCAGCCTGCAGGATGCTTCTTTGTGAACCAACAGGGCATGCCAGTGTACCTTGTTCCAACCCCAGCACTGGGCACACAGCTACAGCCTCAGCAGCTCACCATTCCTGTACAGGCTCCTAGACTACAACAGATGGCACTGCCAACAGGTTTGGGGCCAGGTACACAGCCATATCCTCTGACACCCCAAGCAGCTAGAGCAGTCAATCATGTACCACAACAGCCCCTACAACAACTGCTGTCACCACAGAGGTCTCCTGTGAGTGGTGAACTTGGCAAAGTGTCACCGTCCACAAGCCATGTGTCAGGCAGTGTGACTGTACAGGTACCTCTCCTCCCTGCCTCAGCACAGGGACAGGCAACAATCATCAGCTCACCCAGGGTTAAGGACCTGCTGGAGAAGCAGAGGATAACTAATCCCTCTCTGACAGACATGACCAGAAGAAGGATAGAAAGCAATAGTGTGGGTAGTCAGACTCAGTTTGTGAGAAATGCAATGTCCATGGGAACAAAACCAAACTTGACTACGTCCCAGGGCATTGGCATGATGACTCTCCAGAACCAAACGATGATGACTGTTAATAACGCGGCAAATGTGAACAAAAGTCCCCCAAATGCCCAGACAGTCATGTGGACGCCACATATGTTCAGCAGCCTGTTACAGTCAGCCAACAAACCAGTAGGTTCCACTTTGGTAGCCCCAATACAGATACCAGCTTCAAGCCCAATAAGCCTGCAGTCTCCAGTAAACAGTGTACCAACCAACATAGTGTCTCCCCCACAGCCATCCATTCTGCCTACGGGTGGGGTGTCAAACAGTGTTGTGAACTCGAGTGGGAGCCAGGGGACTGCAGCAATGGGAGACATCATCTCTGCAAATGCTGCTCTCCTGTCTCTGGCCCAACTACAGCATGCACAGATGCAGCCAATGGGGAATGCCAGTGCCCAGAAGACAACACTCCTGCAGAACAACTTACCCCAGGTCAACATTGCTAGCCCCTTGAAACATCCTCTTTTACCCGAGAATTTCTACAACAGTCTAGAGTCTGCATTGATGTCCTCATTTAACTCTCCAGACAGAGGGCAGACAGGGATGTCCTTCCCTCCTCTTGGAACTCCTGGAACAGTGGCAAACTCTCTACAACCCATCCCAGGTGCCAGCTCAAACACCTCTCCTCAGGCACCAGGCGCAACTGATTCTGCAGCACCAACTAGCAAACAGAAGAAGAGCAGCCCAAAAAGGAAACGTTCCACAACACCAACAGCAGCCAGTCGTAAAAAGCTCAGGCCTGGGGTGGCAGAAGAGTGGATTGATGACAGAAGTTCCCAGGAAAGAGCAAGTGGCTCAGCGGGTCAGGGAAGTTTTTCCTCATCAGAGGGAATACCTGGTGGTGAAGGTGGCAGAACAGGCAGTCCACTGGTGTCATCAGCACCAAGTCTGTCTCCAACTCCCAACAGACGAGGTCCTCGTGTGAAACTGCCCACCAGGTCCAGCCCTGTGCATCCCATTCACAAAGGTAAAGGAATGCTGTATCCTACAGGAAATAGGATTGTAGTCATTGTTTACCTTAAGCTTGTATACATTCTGACATGTAATGTTATGTAACTGACATGCAAGTGGAAGGAAGCCAAGAGATTTTTACTTAGAGTAGAATGTGTAGGAAAAAACTATGTTAACTCGTAAATATTTTGAAGCATCACAGAATTACGATTATATCAGTATCGTCCTAATGTCTTATATTCTGCCAGGATGTTGTCATGTTGGACACACTTCTTGACATGACAAGCTATGTCAATGTCCCCCTACTTATTGTCCTTCCAGGTACTGCCTGCATCCTCTTCACCAACCTGAGTGACCTTGCACAGAAGTACCGGTACCCGGACCTGAAGTCGCGCATTCCAACCTCTGCAGAAATCCTCATCCTCACCTGTGATGCCTCCAAGAAGTATCTGATTGGTGTAGAGCGACGCCATCTTCCATTCTGTAACGAGTTTCAGGGAAAGGTTGGAAAGGAGCAGCCCCAGTTCTCCTTCCACTGCCCAGGGTGTTGTGAGTACATCGGACAAACCCTCCGTGAGGCCTTGATGCACTTCCTGGGCCCAGACTCGGAGAAGGCACAGAAAGCAAGGACAGCTCGCTCACGTGCCATCCAGTTCATCATCACCTGTGATGGGAACAAGTGGGAGAAGAGGAGGCTGGAGTGGAAAGGTAACTCCAGCAAGATTGTACCTGTTCCTGTCTAACTCAGCACCCTTCTGTACTGCACAGTGGGGGTATCGGCACATTAACAAAATGACTCCTGGTGGAATCCTTATTGCTAAACACAGAGTTACTAATGAGATGATTTGAGGGTGAAACACTTAAAAAAACAACATAAAGCTTTCAGTTTGCAAAATAGGGCTCATGGTATTCATGGGAGAATGATAATTTGTAAGTGAAATGAAGTTGTACTGTCTCCTTTGCATGCAGATCTTGTGTAGTGAGAGTGCTGCCTCTGAACTTCCGTTTCTGATTGTTAATGGGTTTGATCCACATTTGCAATGTTTTATTTCGCACCTGTTTTATATTAACAAGAAATACCATTTCTATTGAAGGTCCCCCACAACCCTCACTAGGGGTAGGAAGCGTTGATGGGGGACTCAGTGGCCAACTGGCTGGTAAGACAACCATTTGGAACAGAGGAAAGGCACAGGGTTGGCATAGTGGTAATGCATGCTGGGCTGCTCCATGCATGACATTTCATACTTATCTGTGTCCTCCCTGTGGCATCACTGTGGTTGTCTTTGATAATGCACTCTGTCTAAAGGTGGCATGCTTTGTAGCTGTTACTAGTGTTAGTGTCAAGGTGGCGGTAGCTCTGTGTAACAAGATTAGAGTGAAGGATGTCTGTCTCTGTGACTCTGAAACTTGAGTTTGTCATTCCTGACGATGGACACTGGACATCACAGTTGTACATCTGAGTTTCTGTAGGCCAAAAGGCAGTGATTGGTGGCACTAGGATAAAAAAAAGTCACTTATTTGTGTACAATTGTTAATATGAGAAACAGTTAAGTATGGAAAACAAGTCTTTCCAGTATGTATGTTTCAGGAAGGCAGATTCAATGCTTTCTTGGGGAATCCTAGGATTTATCCAACATGCATGTGAAGGTACCCATTTGCTGTAATGCAGTACTTGTAATCTTTTAGTACTCACCAAGCAGCTCAGTTCCCAAGACAAGAACAGACATGTACTAGTATGCTCAGTGTTTGTTTCTGTATGTCCAAAGTCAAAAATTTGTCAGTCTGAGCACTGCAACACCACCCAGCCTTGTTATGTTGTAGTTTCCTCAGACTGAGAGGGAATCCTGTGAGGTTAGACCAGGGCATGGTGTCCTTTATGAGCAAGAATCTTTCACAATTGGATATCGGTAGTTTCCTACTTTGTTGAAGTACCCCTAGTAACAAACCAAATATTTAAAAGACCTCTGTTTAATCGAACAATTCTTGATATCTTTTGTACCGAAGTACCTGTATAAATGACATAGTACTGAATGTGGTTGGTTTCTGCTCTTGTTTTTCTTCTGCAGACAAAGCCAGCTTTGAGGAGGAAGCAGAACCCCATCATCTGTTCCAGCACTACAGATCATCGTCCAACCTTCCCACTGGACGGTCCTCACCATGGGATCGCATCCCGCCCCACCCCTCACTCCCCATGCCAGAAGACGAGGCTGATTCCTACTCACCTCTGCTGAAACTGCACGAGATAGAAGAGGAGCAGAAGAGACAGCAGGCACAAACCACCATCATGCCTAAAGAGGACAAACCTAAGCTTGTGTTCGAGATCACCAGTGATGATGGCTTCAAAACAATGGCAGACACTATCGATGGTAAGAAAAGGCAAATGCTTCAACACAAACAGATATGAATGAAACATTTTACCTGAATGAACTGTAGACCAGTCTCATTTTCTTCAGTGGAAAAGAGTATCTATGTATTTTGAAATGTGTTGTTCTGTGTTGGTTCCAGCTGCTTGGGACCAGGTTGTGGAGAAGGTACAGGAGGCAAGGATCAATGCTCGCATGAAGCAGCTGTCCTTTGCTGCAGTGAGCGGTTCTGTCATGCTGGGGGTCACACATGAATCTGTGATGAACCTGATTGAGCAGCTGGCTGGGGCCAAGAATTGTATTCACTACAAATTCAAGTACCACAAGTACAGCCCTCATGACCTAGCAGAGGATGAGGTTAGTAAACATACATGCCTTTTCCTATGTAACAAGAAGTGTCTTTTCTAGTGTCTTTTTCTACAATTGTACATGCCTGGCTACCATTTTTCAGTTAAGACATACGGACATTAGTTTAATGTGTATAATTAACAGCCAGTTTCAACATTTACAGTAGGATAAGGATTCAAGTGGTATCTGGTTAAGGAATCATCTGTGAATGTTTGAATGATGGTGACAGTGTTTTTTTCTGTCTTCCCTTCTACACAAGGATCCACCAGTCAACCCCAATGGGTGCTGCAGAGCAGAAGTGTTGTCCAGGTAAGATACGGTGCCTCTATAGTATCTGTAGAGCTTTAACTTAGTCTTGGGTGAAATCTACAGTATGTATAATGCAGGAAGTGTGTTGTTTCATTCTTGTGATCTGAGTATGGTTCCCCTCTGTCCTTACAATATGTTCTGTGTATTTTTTTCCAGACGGTCAAAGTTTGACATGTTCAGCTGGCTGGCCTCGCAGCACAGACAGCTCCCTGTCCTGGACTACAATGAGGAGGAGGAAGAGGTCCAGCACAAATCCACCAGGTAATGTCACAGGGTTGGTGAAAAGGGTATCAGCAGGGTTGTTTTGATATGCCAGTGCAAACTACACTACATAAAAGTTCAACACCAAGACTTAGTGTAAACTCGAAAGCTAAGTCTCAAGTATTCTTTCTTGATTAAAAAGAGAAGGGTTTGTATCAGGGATCATATTAATATTGAAGAGTTGCTAAGCTATAGTTGATTAGGAAATCACACAAACCTCAAAAGGCTCTTTTAAAACTTCAAAATATTATCTTAGCTGGAACAGGTTGTCCCCTAATTCATCCTTCGTTACTCATTCAAACTTGCAGGAGACCAACCAGTATGGACCTGCCCATGGCCATGAGGTTCCGCTACCTGCGGCAGACATCACGGGAGGCTGTGGGCGTGTACCGCTCACCCATCCATGGCCGGGGCCTGTTCTGTAAACGCAACATCGACTCTGGGGAGATGGTGATCGAATATGCTGGCATGGTCATCCGCTCTGTTCTCACCGACAAAAGAGAGAACTACTACAACAGCAAGGTACATAGACTTGTCATTTACCAACTACTCTCTGACTGTAATACGTTCAGTAAGTTTTGAAGTGTGGAGATGTTAAGACAGACCGTTATCCATGTACACAGTGTAGGAATGGAGGCCCAATAGGTTGCAGGACTCTGTATTTCAGTTTCATGCAAAATCTTTGTAAAAATTTCTGCTTAACTGTTTTACAGCAATGTTTTCTGTTGTTGATGACATAAGTACAGTACAGTATCTTAAGTTTTTCTTTACTTTTCAGGGAATTGGCTGCTACATGTTTCGCATTGATGACTATGAAGTTGTAGATGCAACTATGCATGGGAATGCTGCTCGCTTCATCAACCATTCTTGTGAGGTCAGTAAATGGGGTCATGTTGCATTGCCAGTAATCTATAGAAAAGTATTGGTTTCAGCATTTTTGTACAATCTATTGAAAGGCAAGTTCCACTTAAAGCATTGACGTTAAATCTGTACATGTATATGTGTGTAGGCCTGTGTGTATATTGTAGACCTTATAAGCTTAATGAATATTCCTGTTATGTTAAATCTGTACAATGTATAATGTGTGTAGGCTTGTGTGTATATTGTAGACCTTATAAGCTTAATGAATATTCCTTGCTATAAGTTTGTAATATTATGGGTAGGCCCTAGGTACAGACATACTTGACTACTGAATATTACACCTTGAATGATCATGAAAAGCCATGCCCAAAGTAAATGTAGTTTGTTACTCTGTTGTCCTGACTCTTGTTTTAACTCAACTCTCCACAGCCCAACTGTTACTCACGAGTCATCCAAGTGGAGGGCAAGAAGCACATTCTCATCTTTGCCATGAGGAAGATCTACAAGGGGGAAGAACTGACCTACGACTACAAGTTCCCCATTGAGGACCAGAACTCCAAAATAGATTGTACCTGTGGATCTAAAAGGTGCCGCAAGTACCTGAACTGATCCTTGGGAATCTGACGGCAATCCAATTCAGACATTTGTGGGATGGGCAGACCACAAAGTATTTTTAACCCTGTACTTGTGCTTTCCTTTTAAATCTCCTATCCTTTCATGGCTTTGATGTATCAATAGGAAGATTAACAGCACACTCCACTGCACACATTTTGTTTCCATTTTCTACATACCTATATCGTTTTTATTTTTAGGCTGTCCCTTCCCAGCTTAGTTATGGGTTTATATTTTTCTCCCTTCAAGCTATTAATAGATGAGCCTCAAATAGAAGTTTGACCTGTGTGTCAACTGCTGCCACACAAGAAAGGAAACATACAATGGGATGTTTTCTTCAGAAGGGCTGTAGACCCTATACCCATTGTTGTGTGTGATGCCAACTAACATGTGCATTCTATAACATGCTGCTTTTCTGTGGAGGCTTTAATCATTCTGAAGACCAAATAAAGAGGGATAATCTGGCAAAGTGAGCAAGATGTACATGTACCTGGTTGTGTGGACTGGGTTTCTAGGGCTATGCATTGAGATTCTGTATGAGTAAGGTGCCTGATGTGATGGAGCTGTCAGATGTTTCCTTGTACCATAGGGGAACTGTTTTTAGAAATTATTCTTTACATGAGAGAAATATTCTTAGAAAAGATAGCAGACAAGAAATTCTATTGTACTTCTCTGTAATAATATCTGTGTTGTACATTTTTGAAGACAAGCCCGGTTTGTTATTCTAAAAATATCCAGAAGCTATAACTTTACTTATAATATGAGTGAATACTAGTATGCAGCTGGTGATTGTAGGAAATTGTTTACCAGTACCAGGACAACATTGTTTTGTATTACATATTCTGGACCATCCAAACTACCATATTTTCCATACACCTGATAATGTCTTATTTGTATGTTTTAATTTTGAAGAAACAAAATGTAAATGGTTATGTACAAACTTGTTTCATAATGTATTACATGGGTGCATACACTGTGTGCCAAGCAGGTGTAGTGCATTAGAAGCACACTGTGTTAGAAAGAAAAATACCAGATGATTTTATTTATTACACTATTTCCCCTTGACTTTCTCCTAATTTTTAATTGGCATCTGGAAATAGCTATTCCAATCCATGAGACAAAGCAAATTTCACAGACCATAGTACACGTAGTTGGGTGTCTCATATGACAGTCAAATTGTTATTTTATTAACTGGAAGCTCTTCCTTCTGCAGGACTTAGTGATAGCTCAATCATTTACAGAGCATCTGAGGTAGTACAATCCAGTATTCACAAGGCATTTGCAGTGTAGTAGCATATTTAGCATTGCCCAAGCAGTTACAAAGAAAAGGTCTAAACAACCTCTGCCTGCCTAACTACACGTAACATTATGTAGTAAGTACTAGTATCTTTTGTGATGTGTCCAGCTCAGGAAAGTAAACCCATGCAAGGTTCCATATTTTTGTATAATGAGTTTTTTGTTGGTATTACTTCGCTTCTTTTTTTAGTGTTCAATAGAACTTTTGTACAACTTACAAACTGCTTTAAAACTGCTGTATTTATGAGGCTTAGCTAGCAAGTACTGAAATGGCAGACAATTATAAGAGATTTGATACTATATGAAAATGTTTTTGATTGCCTCCAATATCTCTTCCAAAGATATCTGTAGCATAGTATACTGAAACTGTCCCAAAGGACTGGTGTACATAAGATTTTGTACAGAGAATCTGGAGATATTGAATTCAGTGTAGTTTCTTCTTTTGGACAGTAAACAAGATTTTAATTGTTTCGATAATCCCCAATTGATTACAAGAAGATGATTTGATCAATGCTTTGTTTCTTTTGTATACAATGCACCAATAAAGATTTTATATTGTAGAATTTTCAAGCTCATTGTCATTGATACTTAATAATATTCGAAGTGTGTGCAGGTTTCCTGACATATGGACATCAATTTGTTGCTGGTAGTATGTAGGAGGTTGTACTGTTGGATTTCTTGAGTCCTAAATACTGTTACAAATGTAGAAACAAAAGCTGAAGTTCGGAACAGTTAGTGATTTCACAAATTCTTTGCTGCAGGCTTTGCAGTAACGTTACATATCTGTAATGGAACACTTCAGTGGTGTCCAGGCACAGACATAATAGATTCAACAGGTGTTTTCACTTTGCAAAGAACAACTTGATGTCTTTAACATACCTACTTGCTGAATCATAAGAGCACCACTACCAGTTCAACACATGTCATCACCAAATGATACTTAGCCAAGATACTCAATGCTCAAACTATCCTTCATCCTGGACCACTGAATTGAGCCTGATGAATTGGCACAAGGTATTGCTGGCAGCTAAGGTCGTATGTGATCCCTGAAGAATTGGTGAAACCTGGTCAAATGACTGCAATTGCCATGATGACTTGTGAAAAGAATTCTTTTAAACTAATTCCGAATATCTGTTTTTATTGCAGTGTCAGTTAGCAGTAATCCAACTTGAAACCCATTTATATCATTTATATTATATTATAATGTTGCATCTAATTATCAGACAACACGACTTGTGCCAACTGTGAGAATTTCGGAGTCAAAATGTTAGTCAAGTACAATGTGTGTCATCATTGCTGTCTCCTACATTGAACTAAAGCGAACAGCTGGGTATTTTCATGAACTTGAAAGCCACGCAAACTGCATTTTCCCGCAGGTCCGCCAGGCCAATTCTTCCATCCACAACACTACAACGTAATGTCATCGGCATGCATACGTAATCCCGACCCCACACAGCACGGAAAACTTTTACAGCCAACATCGATGTCAACAAAAACGTTCAAACGTTGAAAATGACATCGATTCTTTCTTGCCATTGTTCCATCTACGTTTGCAATGATAGTCGGGGGCAGGGGCATACACAGAGTAACATAATTTTGTTTGCCAAAACTGCCCGAACAACTTAGGTCTGCTGTTAACCGCCGAATTAACCCTTGGCAGCCATTTTGAAACAGAGGGTGGGGCGAATTACTTGATAACTCATCCTTTGTATCAAGGCATAATGCGCTTAGCTGTCCAAAAGGGTGGTTCTTTTTAACGAAATCATATCAGTCGTGAAATATAACATATGATATCTCAAATCAAAAGCCACACAACTGTTATTGTAGTTCCAGGCTGGAAAATCACAACTTTTGGAACTATTTTTTTGAGCGGAAGAATGCAGATGTGAAGTGGACTGCGATTAGGTCGTGCAACTCCCTTTCTACAGACAGGAAAATATTTGCCCAGGAAACTATTCCAAATATTCGTGAATTTGGGTATTCCGATGGTTTAGATAAAAGAGGAGAGTTGGAGGGAGCGATACTGTTGGAACTCTTGTGTGTGATTGTCTACAACTTTCAGAATTCGATCAGGATTGAAGCAGGGAGGAGCCTCGTCGAGGGAGGGCAGGGCAAAGTTGTGTATTGCAGTACGCCAGAAGACGATTTTGACCCCCAAATACCAGATATGAATTGCAGTAAATAGTGACCAGCGTCCCACGATGGATTCTTTTGCTCCAGTTGGTATCACAGAAAGGTAGGACGGGTTCGTTTTAGGCGAATGATAGCCCTATAACTCCAACTTGCTAACTCTCTTCCAGACACAAATTCTGCTGTGGGAACTCTCTTGCTGACTGCTTTGCTTCTCGGAAGTGGTGCCTTCATCGATCAAATAAACGCGCTCGGGCTGTTCCTCTATCGCTTTTCCTATTTCCACAATAGTGTCGGTTGTCAGGATGTCCGTATATCTGTGGTTTGGGGTCGCACTTTCATCAGAGATTCGAAATGTTCGTGCAAAAGCTGTAGTTTACTGGCCCAGTTGAGTGACAATTTGTCATCCGATCCGTCAACCCAAATAAGACTTGGGTTTGCACTACACAACAGTTGCTATTTCATTCTAGGGGTGTTATTGATAGGGGAGGGATCCGAGATCAAAATAATAACCCGTGCTTGGGACTTGCTATAACTGTGGTCTATATCTGCACATCAAATTATATATTACAAGGACCGTGGTTCGTGTACAAGCATGGAGTTCTTGGATCTGACATCAGTACTTACAGGAGGACAGTTTTGTCAGGGCCATGGTATTTAAAATTACCAGAATGTTCCTATTTACTTTGGCACAGTTGAAGTAAAAGAAGGGCACTTTCAGGCAAGCTCAGTGACTGCCTCATCGTTGTGTAACTACTGTAGCACACAGTCAACTTACTATTTTAAATCTGACTAGCTTGAGAAATAAAACTTAACTTTTGTTCAGAGTGAAATAGAGTTAAGGATCCCTCGGCTGATGGGTCGTAACATAAAATTAGTTGTGGAAGTTACTGTAACTTGTGCCACTTGTCAGAACATTGTCATAATCTGTTGTCTCAATTTCTTATTTTGTAATTAGTACAGTTCAGTTCATCTATTATCAGTCATACACAAAAGAAGAATGATATATACTTAACATCAAATTCAAAACAAACAGACCTAAAAATATAAGACTATAACATTTTATGTGGTCATGTAAGAAATACCAAAGAAATTATTTCAAAATTCAAGCCAGGATTAGTCTTCTTGCTTGCCCTCCACCCCAAAACCTTGAATTATGCTAGATTCTCTAACAGATTGCTAAGGCTCAGCTGCTGGTAGTGGTTGAAAATTTGCAAAGTATCCTTTGGTTCACTGGACAGACTCCTCAGACTAGTGTTTTGAAGTCTGGAATGTTCAGTGTTTCTCCATTTCTACCCACTTACATGTACTGAACATAGGCACTGGAGTAGACTATCAGTATAAAAATGCTATCCTACTTGTACTTGTTTTTGATAAAGCATAGAACTAGAAATCTATAAACTGTGTATATAGCCTAGTCCCAGAATGTTCTGCAAATGAAACGAAAGCATCTTCGTTGTAAAAATGAAAATCTCTCAACAATAAAAATGAATTTGATGTAGGTTTGTCCTCTCAAACTGTACTGTAGTTATACCCAAGTCACCTTTCCTTCTTCACGAATGTTATGAAGTCATGAAGTCATCTTCCATTGATTAACCAATGATTACTGAGGACTACCAAAAAATAACACTGCTATAGAGCTGAAGACCTATAAAATGTCACGGCATGCCAGAAGGTATCTCAGCAATCGATAGTGATCTGTGCCCACCAGCCATACACTCTGATGTATGTGGTGTGTTATTGTCATCAAATATAACATGAAGGAAGCTATCACATCTGTAAACTGATGCATGTGTCTTTGAATTGGGGTTTCCACTGATCATTTCTAGTCTTTATGGTCAGAATTCTAAATCCTAAGTGGGTGGGATACAGTGTTGACTGTGTAGATTTACTAGCTCTGCAACACAAGAATGCTGGGATGTGACTGATTTGCAAAGGGTTTTTTAATGGCTTATGGCATGGCTCTGTTAAATGTTTCAAGACAGGTACAGTTCTCTGAATTTCTTCTACAAAAAGGCAGGGGATATGTCACGTTGTTAGCATGTTGTTGGAATGAAAACCTTACCGAGTCTGTGTGATGCCATCGTTGATTTGTTGGCATTACTACTCTTTTACTAGTGCTAAGTTTATAGTATATCACGTATAGGTAACTCTTCTCAACGCCCAAAGATTGATAAACCTTTAGAAGTGTTTACTGCCAGTCTGTACATTTTGTTACAGTACATGTATTTTACTGGGCCATATTCTTGGATTTCTATAGTTACCATCATAACAAAAGTGCCAGTGCTATCTTGTACAAAGTACAACTAGCAGATAGTCATCATAGTGGATACGGAAGTTCAGACCTGTTATTCAGTCATTCCTAATAGGTTAAGACAAGACTGTTGCTAGTGTAAGCCTTTGTAGTATGATTATGTTTGATCAGATGTTTGATGTTAGTTATTCAGACAACATTTATCATGGACCATATCACTTGTCATAATGTAAGAGGATGATCAAAGTGGGCCAGTGTCTCCTAAGGTTCTTTAATTTCCTCCCAGTGCTTTCACAGGGTGATACTTGACCTAGATAGGACAGCCTGATAAATGTATCATGGTTCAAGACTTGTCAGTTATGGTATATAAATGCATCCATGTGTGGCTGGAGTGGGGGTAAACTTTAAGTATCACAGAGGTTCTGACTCTTGCCAATGTATGAACTAATATTAGTTTAATTTGATTTGCAAACAAGCCTAAAGCCAGTAGCATATTTTGTCATTCCACTTGTGCATAAATATATTCTCTTATCAGCATACAACTGAGGTTTCCATATAGTGGACTTAACAAGACGTTTGATCAGTCATCACTTTGGACATATTCAATTTCAAGTTTATTATTTTGATGGACCCTGGGGATTCCAGTGGTTTGTTCATTCTACTTAACTGACAGGTAAAGAAGCACTCAGCTGGGAAATTGTTGAAGTCAGGCAGTCAAGGCAAACCCCAGGAATCCAGCAATATCATAAATCAGTGTTTTGGAATATTTGTGCACCTGGGAGAGAGATGTGATAGTTGTTTTCAGAAGATACTTACTCTGTTTATAATTTTCCTGGACGCTGCATGGCGTTAGCCTGTGCCTGACAATCCTCTGGTAGTGTAGGGATTAGACCCTCCAGGGACAGGTTTTGACACTGATATTCTTGTATGGCAATGATCTGGATACATATGTGAAAGAAAGCTCAAACAGTGCTATTTTTCTTGAGTAGTTTAAGTAACACTAACAGAATCTGGCACCTGGTATTTGCATGAATGGCCATGTTTTTACTTGAGTTTGAATGGGTGCTGGCACTGCTGGGAATAGTAGCCATGTACTGTATTTGGAATTTGGAAATTGTTGAAGATTTCCAACTATCAAATAGAGGTTTGGGGTATAATGAGTTTTGCTTACATACATTTACAT